GCAGTGTGCTATCTCATCCTCATCACACTGCTCAGCCACACTCCCAGCCCTTACCACCTTTGGCTTGCCACGGCTTGCATAGGTCAGCCTGTTAGGAGGGCGCACATCCCTCCTAGGACGGTCAGCCGTTCGTCCGGCACCTTGTGGAGCACCTTGCTCCTCCTGCTGCTGCGGCTGCTGCTGCTGTTGCTGCTGCTGCTGCTCCTCCACCTCAGGTTCTCCCCCATCCTCTGTCACCCCAGAGATCTCATTCTCAGAGACAGAAACCTCCACTTGCCTTGAAGGCCGCTGCACCTCATCGGCCTCGACAATTAGCGGTGTCGTTGGAAGCTTCTGCTGCTGCTGCTGCTTCCACTCCTTGTAGTACAAGGACTCAAGGAACTTCACATCCCTTGACACAGTCAGCTGCTGGCTGGTCAAGTCCCAAATCAGCCAGCCCTTGTGATCCTTAGCAAGCCCCAAGTGCACACCCCATCTCCCAGAAGCTTCCAGTTTTCCCCTCTTCTCCTTAGGCACATGAAACACCACCATGCACCCAAAGGCTCTCAGCATGTTCACAGCTGGTGCAATCCCATACCACTTGGTGTAGGGGACCCACTGCTTGTCCCCCACAGTCGCCAGCACCCTGTTCTTCACAACAACGACCTGACGCAGTGCTGTCACCCAAAACGGATCCGGCAGCCCTGCACGCCCAAGGAGAGTGCGAGCACCTTCCTGCAGGGTCCGGTTGAACCGCTCAGCCACGCCATTCTGCTGAGGGTTGTAAGGCACTGTGAGCTGATGCTGGATCCCCTTCCGCTTCAGCTCCTTCTCAAAATCAGCGCCGATGAACTCTCCTCCATTGTCAGTGCGGATCACCTTCACCTTGTGTCCGCTTTCCCTTTGTGCTCTCGGCATCCACTCCTTAAGAACAGCCGCTGCCACCTCCCCCTTAGTCTTGAGAGGGTACACCCACACCGCACGCGTGTGGTCGTCCACAATCGTCAAGAAGTAGCGGCTGCCCGAGAGAGAAAGGGCCCTCGTGGGGCCCACCACATCCATGTGCACTAGTTCAAGTGGTGCCTTGGCTGGTCCTGTGCTGCTGCTGAAGGGAAACTTCGTGAATTTGGTCTCAAGGCAGGTAGGGCAGCTCCCAATCTCCTTTGCTCCCCCCTTCACCTCCAGCCCCTTCAAGCACCCATCCTTTACCAACTTCTGCAGCATAGGAATGTTCACATGGCACAGCCTCTCATGCCACGTCTCCCAATCAGCCTCACCACTCCCAGATGAAGCCTTTGCCCATGCAGCTGTCGCATCCACACCAGCAAGCACCTCACCATGTGGCTGTTGTGGCTGCTGCACCTTCTTGACTGCATCCAGGGCCCCAGCAGTTGGTGCAGTCTCCTCTCCTCCCGCAGTTGCTTTAGCCGCTGCCGCTGCCTTTGCCGTTGCTGGTGGTTTCCCCTTCCAAGGGATGATGGGCAGCTGCCACAAGTCCTTGATGCAGCTGCTCTTCTCCTCCAAGTTCCACAGCAGCAACTTCCCAAGCTTTGCACGGCAGCTGGTTGGGCCGAAGGTAACTTCAGCCTTGCTCTTCTGCAGCCGGCGCACAGAAAGAAGGTTAGCGGACAAACCTTCAACCAACAGCACATTCCCAAGCCCCACAAGCTCTCCATTGGCTCCCATCACCTTGGCATTCCCAACACCAATCACAGGGAGCAAAGCACCTGAAGCGGCAGCCACAAACTTGATCTTCCCAGGAGGTTTTACCTCATCAAGCAAATCTGCCCGTGGGGTCATATGACTCGTGCAACCTGAATCGATCACCCAGTGAGTGAGGGGGTGCATCACAACCTTCCCAACTGAACCCACATCACCCCCACTCCCTTGCACATCCTCAACCATGAGGAACATCCCAGGGTCGGCTTTACCTTGTGCACCATCACCTTGTGCACCTGAACCTTGCACAGCGCCACCGCGTGCACGTTCACCACTTGGCGGCTTCATGCCTGGAGGGGCCCATCCCTCAGGCCGGCTGAAACACTTGAACCACGGGTGTCCAGCCTTCTTGCAGTACCAGCACGCACCCTCCATTCGGGTGCTCCCCCTGCCACCAGAGCTCCCATGCCCCTCATTGTAGTCACCTCGGCCTCTCCCTCTGCCAAAGCCTCTCCCACGGCCTCGGCCTCTCCCTCCCCCTCTTCCTCTGCTGCCTCCTGCAGCTCCATACCCCTCAGCAGTTTTGTTGGCAGCACCACCTCCCGTGTGGCGTCTGCGGAAGTCCTCCTGCAGAATCTGCTGCCGTAGCCACTCAGGCGTCCATTTGTCCTGCTGAACGTTGAGGGTGGGGATGAGGTTGTCCCACGAGTTGTCGAGCACCGAGATGATCTTGGTGCACTGTTGCATCTGCGACACTTCGCTGCCCGCCGCTGCCATCCTCGCATAGGTGTCCTTGATCTTGTCAAGGACCGGTTTCACATCATCTCCCGGTTTCATGGAGAGGGCAGCCAACTCCTTCTCCAACACAATCACCATCGGCAGCGTGTTGGGCTGAATCACGTCGCGTAGTAGCTTCCATGCCTTCGGTCCGGAATCATCCAACTCCACCAAATCCTTGATGTGCTGGAACATGTCGTTGTTGACCGATTGGAGGATGAGGTCGTACAGCACCGCGCTCTTCTCAATCCACCGATCGCGGGCATCTCCTTCCCCCGGCATCTTCTCCTCTCCCATTGCAATTTGCAGCAGCTTGTAGCGCTTGAAGGCGCTCCGCATCCGCCCGCTCCATTCCTCATAGTTGGAGCCATCCAAAGCTTCAATCTTGGATGGTGGCGGCTCACTCCTCTTCTCAGCTGCATCTCCACTCCCTTGATTCATCTCCTCTGCTCCCAATCAGAGGTTTCAGCTCCCCCTTTTGCTGGTCACAATGTAGATCCACACAATCTTCACAAGTGTCAGCGCCAACGAAATTTGGGCAGAGTTTCCCCTTAGCGGAAGTCACATCCAACCTCCAGAACTCCACTTAGGCACGCCCACAGGCCATGGTGGGTCTAGGAGGGTCTTCACACTTCAGTAGACTCCCCACAAGGTCCTTAATCAGCTCTGATACCACTTGTTAGAGACTAAGGACGGAGTCTATGAAGATTAGGTGCCTAAATTTCTCAAAATCGTTGGTCCCTATTTCTGGATAGAATAGTTGCGCTCACAAGAAACGCCGTCGACGAAACGTGCACAGTCTAAACTTCACTAAACTCATATATGTTGTAGCCCTACTCCGTGGCTACAATTCCCAAGTTGAAACGTATCAAGAGGTGAAGTAAATCTCGACTTATCAATTTCGGCGCACAGGGGGGTATGCTGCCATAAGAACTTAACTCAATCACAAAGTTCACACAAGTTCACACAAGAGAATTAGAGTAGCACTAAACCAGGTGGAAGGGATAAGGAGGACGAGAGGGAAGGTCCCAAGAGAGTCCCCAACCAAGAAAACCCCATGCCATACAATTCCCTTCCCCATAGGCAACCCAACTTTGACCTTTGTCACTATCCCAACCTCCACAATCCACCTCAACCCAACTTGGCCACACTTGCCAACCTGGTTTGGTTTCTCCCAACCATTTGGCAGCAACTACAGTAGAAAAGACGAATTTCCCAACCCCCAAAAGTCTGTACCCCATATTGAGTCAACCCCACAACTTCCCATAGTCACCACAACCAAATATCAAAAGCATACGAACTCCAACGTTCGTAACTTTCTTGTTCGTGCTCCGATTGAAGCGATACTTGGTTCCTCGGAAAGCTCTTGAGCAGAGGAGTCACTTCAGATATCTGCTCAAGCCAAATAACATTCACACACACACTCAGAAAAACCAAACCGCACAAAACACAAATTCTTGCACACACTCACAACACGCATGCAACGCACGAACATATGATGGGAGGCAGACAGACGTGAATGCGAATGGTAGCATCACTCAACAACGGGGCCAGTCGCGGGGCTAGGGGTCGATGGGGCCGGGCGCGGGCTAAAGGTCGACGGGGCCGGGCACGGGGCTAGGGGTCAACGGGGGCCGGGCGCGGGCTTGGGGTCGACGGGGGGCCGGGCGCGGGGCTAGGGGTCAACGGGGCCGTGGCGCGGGCTAGGGGTCGACGGGGCCGGGCGCGGGGCTAGGGGTCGACGGGGGCCGTGTCGCGGGCTAGGGGTCGACGTGCCTAGGGGCGACGAGCGAAGGGGCGACACGAGGGTCGCGAGGAGCAGTTCAGTGGTGGGCCCAAAAAAAACGGTCCTAGCGGAGGACCTGCTCTGAAACCATGTCAAGAGAATGAACGAGAATGAATGAACTAGCAAAGAGTTGGGTACATGTACTAACCCTAATTGGGTTGTACCCCTTATGGGCTACCCCACTATAGCCTACACAAATGTAAAAGCTATAATTTTCTGACATCAACGTTCGCCACAGTTCGCGGACCACCAACGTAATTGCGCTGATCGCAACAGCTCCAGAACCTGCGCACAAGTAGCGTCTTAGGGAACATTCCTGTGTGGACAAAAAATTCTCAATGCCCAAGTTCCCGAGTTGCGTCTACACATTTTATCAACCTCGCATCTCAAAAAATTGAATGTACCGTGACACTAGGCGACCAGGCGAAATGTATGGTTGTACGAATTGACTGGGTGACAAGGGTGACCAGGCAACCAGGGAAGCAAAATCGATGCACGGGATTTTTCCCTCGCGAAGTTGGCATTGTGGGGTGTCCAAATGCATGTGGTCGTGTCGGGCATTTCGAGACGCGTGCAATTTTTTTACAGTGAGGGGTCAAGGTGCGATTCGTCAGCGACGTCAGCGCGTTTTACGCTGACCAATTAAAAAAACAAAACTGGTCGCTGAAACGCGACTCGCATTTGGGACACAATACAGTTTATGCTGTTTTTTGGTGTCACAAAGTGATCGAGACCCAAATTTCCACACTCACAAAGTGATTGAGACACAAATTTCCACACTGGAATGTTCCCTTAAGCCTCAGACATCTTCGTCAAGCTGCCCATAAGCCGCAGCGCCACCCTTTGCAGGCACTGCCAACATGGGCACCAGCAATAGGGCAAGCTGGTCGGCCGCGTCAAGGCAATTCTCCCGTGGCCTGTCAAGAAGGGAGTCGGCAGGGACTAGGGGGAGAGACGCGTGTGCCAGCACTTGGATCAGAAGGAGAGCCCAGAGGCTCTCTACGAGGCGAAACAGTTGCCCAAGCGTCGCCTCCGGAACACGAGTTTGCGGGGGAAGAATTGCCTCCACCAGAAAGGGAAGCAGATCATCCGCATCAGAAGGGTCAAGACCAGTGGCAATGAGAGGGGGGTACTCCGCCCTCATCACTCCTCCAACTGATGCCACAAACTCCATGCCCGCCACCGGCGGGACCCAGGGGATCCGGAGACGAGAACCATGCACGGGAGCTGAGGGAGCGTGAACAGGAGGAGGTGGAGCAGCAGCCGGCATTGCAATCACAGTCGGAGGAAGGGCAACAGGCGCTAGTGCGGCCTGCAGTGAGCTGCTCTGGCTCGCCTGCCCGGGCCTCTCCTCGTGCATCGCAGCCATCACAATCCGCTGCACGTCCGCAAGCGTCAGCGGCTGAACATACGACCCGCCACCTCCGCGACCGCGACCTCCCCTACAGCCGCCACGACCACCGCGATGTGTAGGCCAATTCGCTTGCGTCTGGCAATGCCGAGGCGAGTCATGCCGGCGTCGCGACGACTCCTGCTCCTCGCGCGGTGCGGGAGAATGAGGGCGAGAAGGGCGGCGGTCAGGTGACAAGGGACGTCGCTGCTGTCCCGCTGGGGCTGGCGGTTGAACCACAAGAGCAGATTGGACAGCTTCCCCCAGCCCCACAGCCGGGGCCTGTCCGCCTGTGTTGGCGGACACCGCCTGCGTTGATGATCCAACGGCTGGGATCGCCGTAGAGGGGACAACGGTGGCAGGCGGTGCAGCAGGGACGGCGGGGACAGGCGGCGCAGCAACGGGAGCAGGGGGGTCCATTGTGACCATAGGAGCAGGGGGTTCAGACCCCAAGTGCACAGGAGCAAGCGGTGCAGCAACGGGAGCCAGCAGAGCCTCAGCTGTCACAGAGGCCGGAATCGGGAGATCGGATACATCAGGGGCGGGTGGTGCAGCCTTCGGGGCAGGGGGGACTGGGGGCTTCATCGCTGCACTCGCCGAGTCGGTCGCAGGCGGTGACTTTCCATGCACCGCTGATGCAATGGCAGCGTGCGTTGGCGATGGCTCAGGCGGGCCAGCAATCACCATCGCGAGGTGGGAGGAGTCAGATCATGGGGCGACAAGGAGTAAGCGGAATAGGCGGAGGTCCTGAGAATGCGTTTCAAACAGCGGCGCGCGAGGCTATAAGTAGCTTAAACGAGAACAATAATGCAGAGGAGCGTGCTGACCCTACTCATAGAGAGGAGCCACAAGCTCCAAGTAGCAGCAGCAAAGGCGAAGATGAAGTCGGGGAGCGGGGTCGAGTAGAAGGGAGAAGTCGAGTGGAGCAGCAGGATGCAATGGTTTTTCGGAGGGACAGAGGCAAACCTTTGGATGCGAATCGGATGGCCAACAATCCAACCTCCCCTCCCACGACAACATCGAGCCGGGGTCGGAGAAATCGGACCGCGGGCCGACTACACATCGGTGCCCCAACTCCCAAACCTGCGCTATTACTCGCCAGAAGAGCTGGCGATGCACGCTGATAGGTTCACGGCGGTCGCGAACTGGAACATAACCCCACTCTGCGACGGTTGCCAACCCCCACTGGCACGCAGATTGCCGCCAAACCCGTGTCAACTGTTTTCGCTGGCCCTACTGACACCACTTCTGCACCTCTCGCAAAACCCGGACTCCATCGCGGGCTAGCATCTGTTACTTTTCCTACCGAGACTCACACTTCGCCAATCCTCGCCACCGGACTGGCCCAAAATCAAAGCGTGACTTCGGTCGTTCCAGCATGGCGAATGGGACCAGTTGTACACAGAGGCCAGCGAAGCCATCAATGACCCTCCTCCGCCACGTCACCAACCCGACAACACGGGCATTATTAGCAGAGAAGAGGGGTTGGTGAAGCGCAGTAGCCTGCGCCGCGCAATTCTGGCACTCGAGTCAATGCCAGTTTGCACACCCAGTTCGTAGATTTTGGACGAGCTACACCGTAAACATCCAACGGCTGGTCCAAAGCCGCTGATCTGGCCCCCCGACATCGAATCGCAGGTGCTGTCAATTTCGCACCCTGACTTCCTCAAGTTGTTGAGTCAGTGCGGAAACGGGGTGGGTGCCGGCCCGTCAGGTACAACATTTGAGTACCTGCGCGACTCGGCAATCACAAACGCATCCGTCTGCACCCATCTACACGCCTTGGTCAACACTGTGATGGGGGGAGAATCGCCACAACCATTGGCAGAGGTGCTCACGGCATCCCGTCTCATCGCATTGGCCAAACCGGAAGGTGGGGCATGACCAATAGCAATTGGCGAGTGTCTGACCCGCGTGGCGGAAAAAGCTGCCCTTTCGGTGATGGGAGAAGCCGCACGAGATTTTTTTCTCCCCCTGCAATTTGGTGTAGCTATACCGTGTGGAGCAAAAGCCATTATTCATATCGCGCGTGCTTTCACAGACGCACGACCTGACAGCCTAATTCTGCAAACAAATATATCCAACGCCTTCATCAGCATCTCCAGGCAGGCAATCATAGTAGCGCTACATGATGACGCGTTATCACCACTACTGCCCCTGGTTAACGGCCAGCCATCGCTCTTAGATCTTGACGCCAGCTTCAACAGCACTACTCCGCTCGTTAATCGTACTGGCGTGCTGTGTTGTTGTCAGCTCGACAAGCATGGAGGTTGTGACAGCAGGTCATATTTCACGAGCCAACAATTTGTTTTATTCAAGCCGAAAGTCCACCCACTTACAATCCCAATTTTTTCAATGACCCAATTTGGTGGCCTAAATAAATAACAAAAAACCTGTCACAAATTGTAACAAATAGAGCTGACATGTGACCACAAGCACCAAAAAGCGTATGCAAGTTGAGTTTTATTACTAGATTGTTCATATTTTGTAAACAAACATAATTTAGATGCTAGTATGAAATAAAACAATTATTTTATGTGTATATGTGTTTGTATGTAAATGTATATGTATATGTGTGTGTGTGTGTCTATGCGTGTGCGTGCGTGTGTCAGTAGATCTGCACTGTAGATGCCCGATTGATCCTATGGGGGGTTACAGGCGCGTTTGCCTGGGGGGTTATGGGCGCACAAACCCGCTACACAAACAAGCCCTTTTATCCCAATGGTCTAGTGGTTGGGATTCTGACAGCGTGTGCGTGCGTATGCGTGCGTGCGTGTGCATGCGTATGCGTGTGTGTGCGTGCGTGTGCGTGCGTATGCGTGTGCGTGCGTGCGTGTGTGTACGTGTGCGTGCGTATGCGTGCGTGTGTATGTGTGTATGTGTGTATGTGTGTATGCATGTATGTGTGTGTATGTATATGTGTGTATGTGTATGTATATGTGTGTGTGTGTATGTATGTATGTGTGTGTGTATATGTGTACATATATGTATGTGTATGTGTATGTATGTGTGTGTATGTGTTTGTATGTGTGTGTGTATATGTCTGTATTTGTGTGTCTATGTGTGTATGTGTGTGTATGTGTGTGTGTGTGTGTGTGTATGTGTGTGTGTGTGTTTGTGTGTGGTCCATTCTGCGCACCGACATTTGTCTACTTATCCAAATCAGTTGTGAATAATCTCAAATCTGAACAACCTCACCTAGATATATAGTAAAGGCTATTTGTACAAAGAGACGGGAATTAAGACAAGTGGCGGGGCTCTAAACTGCTGATAGTATGTTGGTTGCCTATCCTTTAACTTATTTGTTCCGTTTTGTGCACGGACGCTTGTCTACCTATCCAAATTAATTGCGAATGAGCCCATTACCGGACAGCCTCACCTACCTACATAGTAGAGGCAATTGGTGCACAAAAACGTTAGTAAAATGTTGAAATGTATTCGTATACATTTGTAACTGCCTACAGTAGAACCTAGTGTAGTTATAAGATCTTGCAGGTGGTGTACCATTGTTTCCTCTTTTGCCTATATCTTGTACCCTTGTTCATTATTGAAACCCTCTTTGACAAATCTCTCTCGACATGTTCCTCTCGACCTTCCTTGCCTCTCCCCTCTCTCGTAACCTAGCTATGGCTCCTATGCGTAGCTAGTTACTATTCTAACATGCTATCAGAGTAGGTCGCTTCTAGGACCTAATGTTCATGGGCCCACCGAACCCGCCATCTCCGATGGCGGCCCATTTTTCTGCTGCAGCAGCTCCGCAAGCTGATGGCATCAAGCTCGCTCCTGTGCGCGGTCCACGGGCGTTTCGCGAATGCGTCGGGTACGTGCGTCGCGCACGTGATTCGCGCGCGCTTCGGGATAGCGCTCGTGGCGCTTGTCGCTTGCCTTGTCGCGCGGACCCCGCTGTCTCGTCGCCCCGCCGCTGCAGCCCTCGCTGGATTGCCCCCCCCCCTCGTTGCCCTGTGCTGTTTCGTCGCCCCGCGGCCTCGCCTGCACCGTCGCCAGCCCCGCGCACGCTCGTCACGCCGCCCTTGCGCCTGCCCGACGAGTGAGCCACCGTCTGCCTGACGCGCTGCACCCGCGACCCCCGGGCCAGCCCACAGCTTCCCCCCCACGCCCCACCCGTCATGCCCCAGCATGTTACCCCACCCGCCCTCCCGTCGGCCCCGCTGTTGCTGCCGAGTTTGCTCCTGCTGTGTGGGGGGAGGGGGGTGTGTTGGGGGTGGTGGCCGTGAGTGGGGGTGACGGGGGTGGATGCCGTCGCGGCTCCCGTCACTTCTGCTGCTCGTGCAACCGTGGAAGGGGGAGGGGGTGGAGGTGGCGGGAATGTACCCGAAGGAACCAGCCGCCGCCCTCCTCTCTACTCTCTCTCCCTCCAGCGCCTGTCGTTGTGGGGGAAAGGGGGGGGTGTGAGGGGGTGGCGAGAGAGATTCTGTTGAGCCAGTAGCTGCCCCTCCTCCTCTCTCTCTCATAGCTGCATGTGCCACTGTGGGGGGCAGGGTGAGGCGGTGGCAGAAGTCATCTAGGCATCTGCAGCTGCCGCCCGCTGCTACCGTGGCACCTCCAACTGCCGCCCCTGCCTCCACCTGCTGTTTCTTTTGTTTTCTGTTTGCTGCTGTTGGTTGGCAGGTGCAATCGTTGAGCCTTGCTGTGCCGCCGCCCTTGCTGCCGCACGCTCCTGCTCTCCAGGCGGCCTACCGCCACATGCACCTACTTCTGCAGTGCCGCCGCCCTTGCCGCCGCACGCTCCTGCTTCTACTGCTTCAACCTTGGCGGAGGGGTTGGTGAAGTTGAATCTGCTACCACTGCACTGGTTGTCACTGCTCTTGCCTGCTGTTGCGGTTTTCTCTGCACTTGGTGTACCCTTGCAGTAGGAGTACTGCACATGGTTCTAGCTGTAGGCATTTAGGGGGTGTGTTGAAATGTATTCGTATACATTTATAACTGCCTACAGTAGAACCTAGTGTAGTTATAAGATCTTGCAGGTGGTGTATCATTGTTTCCTCTTTTGCCTATATCTTGTACCCTTGTTCATTATTGAAACCCTCTTTGACAAATCTCTCTCGACATGTTCCTCTCGACCTTCCTTGCCTCTCCCCTCTCTCGTAACCTAGCTATGGCTCCTAAGCTTAGCTAGTCACTATTCTAACATAAAAATCAATGACGGGACTCTAAACTGCCAATAGCGTTTTTGCTGCCTCACCTTGAACAACTTTGGTCCGTTTTGCACACCGACACTTGTCTACGTATCCAAATCAGTTGCGAATGAGCCCAATCCCAGACAGCCTCACCTAGATACATATCAGAGGCTTTTGGTGCAAACAAACGGGGGTTAAAATCAAGGACGAGGCTCTAAACTGCTGATAGCGTGTTGGCTGGCTGCCCTTCATCTGAACAAACCCGTTCTGCGCATTGACGTTTGTTTACATATGCAATTCAACTGCAAATGATCTCAAAACTGGGTACTCTGACGTGGATAAATAGTAGAGGCTATTGGTCAAAATAAACAGGAATTAGAAAAACAAACAATGCACTATATTGTTGATAGTTACAAAACTATCTATCCTTCAACAGATTTGACCCGTTCTGCGCACTGACATTTGTTTACATATGCAAATCTGTTGTGAATGATCTCAAAACCGGGTATTCTCACCTACAGGAGAAGCTAATGGTCGAAAGAAACGGGAGCAAAAAGTACAACAGTTGCCAATATTGGTGATAGTTGCACGACTGACTATCATTGCACAGATTTGACAGCGCCCCATAAAAACATAGTAAAGAGAAGTTCACAGATCACATTCATAACAAATATTAGGCAAACATATTGCACACTCCATATTTCTCATAAAAACATAATTAATGGTAAAAACATGTAGCCTTTTGCAACACCCTATTGGAAAATAATAGAATTGAAATGCATTTGCTGATACAAAGCCCCCCACACTCTTGGTTGTTTTCCCTGAACACATTTTTCACTCAACGATGAATGTTTACCCATGAAAGTTTTGTAATTGGGTAGATAATAAATCTGTTAACAATATTTAGAAAAGCATGTATTTGTTT